AAGTTCTTTTCTTTAAGAATGTTGAATATTGGCCCCCACTCTCTTCTGGCTTGTAGTGTTTCTGCCGAGAGATCTGCTGTGAGTCTGATGGGCTTCCCTTTGTGGGTAACTCAACCTTTCTCTCTGGCTGCCCTTAGTATTTTCTCCTTTATTTCAACCCTGTTGAATCTGACGATTATGTGCCTTGGGGTTGCTCTTCTTGCAGAATATCTTTGTGGTGTTCTCTGAATTTCCTGCATTTGAGTGTTGGCCTGTCTTGCTAGGTGGGGGATGTTTTCCTGGATGATGTCCTGAAGAGTATTTTCCAGCTTGGATTCATTCTCTTCGTCCCCTTCTTGTACACCTATCAAACGTAGGTTAGGCCTTTTCACATAGTCCCACATTTCTTGGAGACTTTGTTCATTCCTTTTTGCGCTTTTTTCTCTAATCTTGGTTTCTCGTTTAATTTCATTGAGTTGGTCTTCGACTTCAGATATTCTTTCTTCTGCTTGGTCAATTTGGCTATTGAAACTTGTGCATGCTTCGTGAAGTTCTCGTATTGTGTTTTTCAGCTCCTTTAATTCATTCATATTCCTCTCTAAGTTATCCATTCTTGTTATCATTTCCTCATATCTTTTTTTAAGTTCCTTAGTTTCTTTGCATTGATTTAATACATGTTCTTTTAGCTCACAAAAGTTTCTCATTATCCACCTTCTGAAGTCTAATTCCGTCATTTCGTCACAGTCATTCTCCGTCCAGCTTTGTTCCCTTGCTGGTGAGGAGTTTTGATCCTTTCTAGGAGGCGAGGTGTTCTGGTTTCGGGTGTTTCCTCCTTTTTTCGCTGGTTTCTTCCCATCTTTGTGGGTTTATCCGCTTGTCGTCTGCGTAGTTGCTGACTTTTCGATTGGGTCTCTGAGTGGACACCCAGATTGTTGATGATGAAGTATTTCTGTTACTTGGTTTTCCTTCTACCAGCCTAGCCCCTTCACTGTACGACTGCTGAGGTCCACTCCAGGCCCTGCTTGTCTGGGGTGCACCTCTAGCAGCTGTGGCACAGTGAGGGATGCTACCAGTTTCTTTTTCTGCTATCTTTGTCCCAGGATGATGCCTGCCAAATGACAGTCTTTTGGATATAGAGGGGTCAGGGAGCTGCTTGAGGAGACAGTCTGTACTTTTTAGGAGCTAAATTGCTGAGCTGTGAGCTCTGTTGTTCATTCAGGGCTGTTAGGCTGCTATGTTTGATTCTGCTGCAACAGAGTATATATCCAAAAGACTATAAATCGTTCTACTATAAGGACACATGTACACGAATGTTCATTGCAGCACTGTTTACAATAGCAAAGACCTGGAATCAACCCAAATGCCCATTGATAATAGACTGGATTGGAAAAATGTGGCACATATACACCATGGAATATTATGCAGCAATCAGAAATGATGAGTTTGTGTCATTTGTAGGGATGTGGATGAATCTGGAGAACGTCATCCTCAGCAAACTGACACAAGAACAGAGAATGAAACACCGCATATTCTCACTCATAGGCGGGTGATGAAAAATGAGAACACATGGACACAGAAAGGGGAGTACTAAACACTGGGGTCTATTGGGGGGAAAAGGGGAGGGCCAGTGGGAGGGGGAGGTGGGGAGGGATAGCCTGGGGAGAAATGCCAAATGTGGGTGAAGGGGAGAAGGAAAGAAAAGCACACTGCCATGTGTGTTCCTACGCAACTGTCTTGCATGCTCTGCTCATGTACCCCAAAACCTAAAATCCAATAAAAAATTAAAAAAAAAAAAAAAAGAAAATTAACTCAAAATGGATCATAGGCTTATATGTAAAACATAAAACTTTAAGAGTTTTAGAAAAGAAATTTGGAGGCTGGGTATGGTGGTTCAAACCTGTAATCCCAGCACTTTGGGAGGCCGAGGTATGTGGATCACCTGAAGTCAGGAGTTCAAGACCAGCCTGACCAACATGGTGAAAACTGTCTTCACTAAAAATACAAAAAAAAAAAATTAGCTGGGAATGGTGGCACATGCCTGTAGTCCCAGCTACTCAGGAGGCTGAGGCAGGAGAATCTCTTGAACCCAGGAGGAGGAGGTTGTAGTGAGCTGAGATTATGTCACTGCACTCCAGCCTGGGTAATAAGAGTGAAATGCCATCTCAAAGAAAAAAAAAAAGAAAAAAGAAAAAAAAATAAGAGAAAATCTGGATTTAGGCCTAGGCAAGGAGTTGCTAGATTTGACACCAAAAGCACAATCTATAAAAAGAAAATTGATAAAATTCATCAAAATTAAAAACTTTTGGTCTGTGAAGTAGCTATTAAACAGAAAAAAACAAGTTCAGAGCAGCAGAAAACATTTGCAAACTACACATCTGACCAAGGACAAATATCAAAACCCTCAAGCTCAACAGTAAAAAAAAATCCAATTTGAGTATGGGCAAAAGACATAAAGAGACATTTACACAAAAAGGTGATAGAAATAGAAAATAAATACATTGAAAAGTTGTTCACATTGTTGTTCATTAGGGAAAACCTAAAATAACTTAAGCATTAGGGAAAACCACCATCAGATATCACCATACACCTATCAAAATAACAAAAACAAAAAATGGTAGTAACGCCAAATGCTGGCAAGGATGAAGAGAAATTATATTATTTGTATATTGCTGGTAGAGATGCATAATACAACCATTCTAGAAAAGTCAGTTTCCTTAAAAAAAAAAAAAATTAAACATATAGTTATATGACCATATGATCCAGCAATGGCACTCCTGAGGCTTTATCACAAAGAAATGAAAACATATTGACATAAAAATCTGTACATGAAACTTTATAGCAACTTTATTCATTGAACGTCAAACACTGGAAACAATCCAGATGTTCTTCAATGGGAATGGTTAAACAAACTGTGGTATGCCCATGTGGAACAACTATAAAGCAATAGAAGGTAATGATAATTGGTAAACACAACCACCTAGACGAATGTCCAAAGAATTATGCTGATTTTTTTTTTAAAAAGCCAATTTCAAAAGGTTTCATACTATTTGCATGGCATTCTTGAAACGACACAATTACAGAAATGGAGAACAAATTTATGGTTGCTGGCAGTTAAGAAAGGAGTGGTGGGCAGGAGGAAAGTGGTGTGGCTGTAACGAGAGGAATCCTCATGGTAAAGAAAATATACTGCCCCTTGATTGCATCAATGTCAACAAGCTGGTTCTGATATTGTACCACAGTTTTACAAGATGTTAACATTAGGGGAAACTAAAAGTATATAAGAAATCTCTATTGTTTCTTGCAATTGTAAGTAAACCTATAATTATCTCAAAATTTTAAAATTAATTTAAAAATCAATATACAAAATGTAGATGTGGAAAATATTGGGTATTTCACAAGTCCTTTAGAGGTACCTACAAAGACTATTTTAGTGTATGTTCTTGAACCTGGGGAATGCAGTGTCCTCTAGCTGCACCATCAGATCTAGTTTTCTTGTGGTCCATTCAATGTAGACTCTCTTCTGGTGTCCAGGAACACCTGCAACACCTCCAGCAAGGATTTAAAACAGCTCTGGGCCAGCTATCTTTCCTTTCGGGAACCTTATCAGGTCAGTTAGAAACACTCGCATATGTCTTGCTTTGACAGCTCTGGGACTGCAGACCCCTAAGGCAAACAAACATTCTCTGTTTTTCTTTCTGTCAGGGCATCCAACTAGTCGCTGCCTTGTAATTTTTCACACAGGAGTCACATACTAGTACATTTCTCTAACCAAAAATGACACATGTTCTTCAGGTAGTCCTACTTAAGACCTTTTTCAACCCAAGGTGAAGGGAAGATCTCATAGCTCTTTCTGAAACATTTTCTCCTTCAACAGCCTTTATATTCTCAGCTTAATTGAGAGAACTATGGTTTGCAAACTTTTTAATGTTCTTGCTCTGGCCATTCATAAAAGGTCTGTCATATCTGCGATAACTTAGTGCCCTAGTTAAAACTTCTAATTTAACATTCTTCTTCAGATATAATACCTAAATAGTGATTTAAAGTTGATAAGAATAAAACGACCCAAAATGCAAAGGATATAAATAGACAATTCACAGAAAAGAATACCTTAAAGGCAAAAATGAAAGAGAAGACTCTAAAATACACTAATAGTGTGATTCACTTTGTACCTATCAGACTGGCAAAAACTCAAAAGTTGATCTTACCAATCACTAATGGGCAGTTAGAGAAAAGGGGGTATCTTTGTACACTGCTGATGAAAATGTAAATTTTTACTGCCTTTTTTGAAAGCAAGCTGAAAACATTTGTGAAAATAAAAAATATGCATGGATAGAAAAGCTCAATGTGCAAAAGTCCTTTGAAAAGCAGATGCCAAATCAAGATTAACATGCAAAAGATTTATTGGAGAAGGTGCCTGTGAAGAACAATGGCAAGAGGGAGCAGAGTAAGTGGAAACTCTATGGACTGTGAGGCAGATCTGATACATGTGAAAGGAGACAGGAAGGAAGGATTGGGTAAGAAGAGCCTGAGACTGCAGCACAGCTCTGAGAACATTTCACCTGTGCTGATAAGGAGTCCCCAAGCAAAGACTGCCCATCAGATGAGTCCTGCATTGGGAAAGAATGAGACGCACTCAGTCATTGGCTGGGATTATGAATCCTCATTAGGAATAGCCTCATTACGAATGTCATAGTGATGAACCTAAAGAGCCAAGAGCAAGAGGCTGTCAATCAGCTATGCTCACTGCAGCAGGGTCTCTCAAAGGTCTAAGTGGCATGAGAGAATGGATACGAGGATATGGTGTTGAGAATTGTTCACAATGGCAAAACAACTAGAAACAAACGAAATACCTAAATTAGGGGAAAGGTTGAGAAAATTAAGTCCTGTCACACCATGGATTAATATGTAGTTTATTAAAAAGGGTGAAGTATGCCTTATTCTTGATCGACAGGAGTTTCCACACGTTAATGCTAAGAAAGCTAGTGTGTGACAGCATCTTTATTTATTAAAAATCAAAGACCAAAACTACGCTTTCAGGAATCCTTTCTTCAATTCATTACTAGAGGTTTCTCTTAATGTGTAGAGCACCAGAAACCACCAAGAGACCCAGTCTGCTCTCTCTGGAACATGAAGCCAGCCCTTGGTGTTGCTTGGCTACAACTGCCCTTCATCATTGAAAATTGTTCTCTCCCTCAGGAAAAGTGAGAGAGAAAGAAGGAAGTCAGCATGGTTCCCATTAAGAAATAATATTTTTCTTAAAAATAAAACACCAAAACACAGTTATATGAGCTTCAAAAAAAGTGCACAAGGCTACAGATGAGGCTGCTGGCCTCTGTTATGACTTTTATTGCAGCCTGTCCACAAGACAGTTCCCCCACTAGACCAGGGGACCCTTGAGGATTGCATCCTAACATGGTACCTGATGCTTTGTGCTTAATAAATACTTATTGAATAAGAGAACTTATTGAATAAGTGAGTGAATGAACTACAAGGAAAGTTATAATTAACTAAGTGTAAGTGAACTTACTGAATAAGTGAATGAATGAACTACAAGCGAAGTTATAATTAACCAAGTGGAACAGAGATGAGAAGCAGACATAGGCATCTTTTATACCTAGGAGACTGTAACCAGCAATTTGTTATGAATGTGAAATCACATATATCTTTTATTATTAAATGACTTCCATGTCTCTTTATCAATTATTTTAATGTGTTTCATCCCTCAGTTGTTAATCTACTTTCAAAGCCTAAAAGAAAGTTATCTTTAAGGTACCATAAAATTGTCACAGTACTAAGGATGAAAATAGTACCTACAACTATTTTTTGAAAATAGAATCTTTCATCGCTGGGCAGTGCCAGCAAAAGGTATGCTGTTAGAATTCACTGTAAATCCAGTGCTAGCAAGTATATAGTTGCAGAGTCAATGCACCTTCATTTCAAATACAGACTATCCTCTTTGAGGTATTCTTCCGCAAATACCTCTCTGCTGCATCCCAGTTCATTGCCAACTTTTACAATCACCTGGCCCCACTAGGCTTCCTTCCTCAAACACACAGCCTTTATCCACTGACTGCAACAGCAGTTAAGAAGGTGCATAGGTCACAGGATGACCACAGTTAAATCCACTCCCACAGTAAATGTGACTGTTCACATACCACCAGAGGTAAAGGAAAGAAATAGACAAAACAACCTTGCTATCAAAAGTGTACACAATGGCAGTCTCATTTGACTAGAAGAAGAAACAAGATGGAAGGTGAGGAAACAATATTAGAACCAGCTCTTCCATGAGGAACAGGTTTGATAGAAAATGAGTGAAAGCAAGTGAATAGACTTCGGAAGCACTAAGAGAAGACAGTGAAACAGCCAAAGAGATTATCAAGTTCAGGGAACTCTGTTGGAAGATGATTAAAATGTCGACAGAATTGAAGAAAAGTATGTAAAAGGCAGTAAGGAAACTCAAAGGTCTGAGGTGTGTGTGGTGGTGGGGAGATATTCTGAGATGACCATGTAATATTCTAAGTACTTCTGAACACTTTTTACTTGCAAAGGGTACAAATTACATGCTTCTTAATGATGTTGGCCATATCAGTGGGTGGTGGTGTGAAAAGAAAAATGGAATCAGGGATGTATAGATTCTGACCATAGCGCTGTCATTAACTATCCCTGGGCAAGTCATTTAATCCAATAACCCTAAATCTATTCATAATACACAGTCTCTAGTTTTGCTAGACCTCTATAAAATGTAAGGCCAGATCTCTGTTCCCCAAATCAGAGTCACCAGGGGAAATTGCCAGATCTAAGCCTAGAGATTCTACTTTGCTAGATCGGGGTGAGCTCAGTAAGGTAATATGAATTTTTGGAGTTCCTTCAGTGACTTCGATACTGAGCCAGGTTTGGGAAGCACTGGTCTGTATGATGTTTATGATTCCCTCCAGCTCGAAAATCCCAGAGTGATTCCTGAGTCACCAAAAACAAACTGAGATGTGCTTCCCATCAAATCGAGTGTTTAATTTACACAAGCCATAGAAGTAACAGGTATTTATTTCATTTTCAAATAGACTCACTTACCAGACACAGGTATTTTTGTTCATTATTTGGTTGGGGGCTGAGAGGAAGGTGGATATGGCACGAATCATCTGCCTTTGTGTCAATGCCCTCCAAGTCAAGTGATTGGGCTGAGCATAGACTATAAGATCTAGAAAGAATTTATATGTTCCCAAGAGACTCAGTGAAAGCCGTACGTATAGAGAGAACAAATGTTTTCATTTAACATTAACTTTCCCTTTCAGAGACCGCATTGAGCACTGTGCAATGGGCTGGCACAGGCAATGACACAGACAAGTGAGAATCTGATTATAATAAATATGAAGAAAAAATACCTCATTTAGGACTCCTCTCACCCTTCAGTCCTATTAGTTTCATTTACCAGGAGTAAAATATTGTTGAGCTCACTCCTTTATTAGAGGCTTCTTAAAACCACAAATATGAAATTTTAATTTTGTACAAAATATTTGTGTTCTGACTAGATTCAAAAATTCATTTTATAGCTGAAAAACATTGTACTATTTGTGGCCCCTTTAAAATATCTTGAAATCTCCAATTGATTAAAACTATTAAACATTATGTTTCCTTATGATATCTTGTACTAGGCTATAATAATTCATTTTCTCACAGCTTCCCTAGGACCTCCTGTGATGTTTATGAGCTTGCTACTATGGTGATTTGATTTTCATTTATGAAAGAATGTGTTACTACCTAGTCACCCCCATTTTCTAAGAAATCCTTTCTCTTAAATTAGAAACCAGGTATGAATGTTAACCTTTTGGGTCTGTAATAAGTGTTTTAATGGCTTCATTTGACAAACTATATTATTTCATTGCTTTGATTTATCTAATTTTGTGAAAAACCCACAGAAATAGGGTTGTGGTGAAAACGAAATTAATACTGCCATATATGAACTTTTTCTACACTCAGATGGCTCCTCAATGGCTCTTTATCTTGATGACACAAAATTCTCATACTAATCCAAAGATCTGGAATGACAAACTATTAGAAGAGGAAGGGATCTTAGCACTTATCAAGTATAACTTCTTACTATTTGAAAATCTACCTATTTATCCAACTATCTATATCTATTTTGAAATATGAGCCTCTGCTTCTGCATGAATTCCTGGGACAGGAGAAAGCCTGTACCAGAGCTGAAAACTCTAAAAATTATTTGGAAACCCCATCATGATATAGAGGTGTTTACTACCAAACTCACAGCTGTGACCTCTACTAATTCACTTCTCCGGACAGCCCTCAAAATGTTTGAAGACAGCTGTGCCTGCAAAAATATCTCAAAGTTGCACATCCCAAGAGGCTGCAGGAAGAAGGCAGATAGTAAGCAGAGCTAACATGCATCTCCCCCTTGGATGGTCAGAACAGTGTATGGAGATTCGCACTGTGAACTTTTGTTCTAAGAACTACTACAGGAATGTACCAGAAAAACCAAAAAAATTTACAGATGCTTTGAAAGAAATGGCATACCACTGCAAAATCAGACAGAAGAAAAACTGTGAGTTCCCAAAGTGTGAGGGGGATATAACCTGCCTCCAGACACACATCCCCACTGGGGAATCTGAAAACTCAGATCATGCGAGAAGGATTTAACCCTACCTAGAGCTGAAATGGATTTAGGGAGCTGTGCAAAATATAAAAGGAGAAGCTGCAGACATTCCCCAGCACTAGCCCAGAGGCTGGTAGCCCCACTGGGTGGCTAGACCCAGAAGAACAATAACAATCACACAATCCAGCTCCCAGAAAACCTCATCCTTAGGGAAATGGGGAGAACATGAGATCAAGGGATCGCCCCGTGGGACAAAAGAATCAAACAGTAAGCCTTAAATTCTAGATCTTTCTGCTGGTGGGTAGTTTCTCACACAAGAGACACAATTGCACTGCTAGGTATGGTAGAGATATAAAAAAAGTGGCATTAAGAAGAAAGTACATAGTGTTAAAGCCTGCATCAAAAAGTCTGAAAGAGCATAAATAGACAACCTAAGCTCACACCTCAAGGAACTAGAGAGGCAAGAACAAACCGAACCCAAACTAAGCAGAAGAAAAGAAATAACCAAGATCAGAGCAGAACTAAATGAAATTGAAAAAATAATAATATAAAAGATAAATGAAACAAAAAGCTGGTTCTTTGAAAAGATAAAATTGATAGGCCATTAGCAAGATTAACCAAGAAAAGAAGGGAGAAGATACAAATAAGCTCAATAAGAAACAAAATGGGCGCTATTACAACCGATACCACAGAAATACAAATGATCGTTTAAGGCTACTATAAATATCTTTACATGCACAACTAGAAAATCTAGAGAACATTGATGAATTCCTGGAAATAGCTCTCCTAGATTAAATCAGGAAGAAATAGAAACTCTGAACAGACCAATAAAAACAACTTGCAAAATTGAAATAGTAATTTAAAAAGTACCCCCAAAAAAGTCCAGGCCCTAATGGATTCACAGCTGAATTCTACCAGACATTTAAAAAAGACGTTTTATCAATCCTATTGAAAATATTCCAAAAGATGGAGAAAGAAGCAACCCTCCCTAAATCATTTTATGAAGCTAGTATCATCCTAATACCAAAACCAGGAAAGGACATAAAAAAAAAAAAAAAAAAAAACAAAAAAAAACTATGAACCACTATCCCTGATGAACATAGATGCAAAAATCCTCAATAAAACACTAGCTAACCTAATCTAATAGCATATTAAAAAGATAATACATCAGGATCTAGTGGGTTTCATCCCAGGAATGCAGGGATGGTTTAACATATGCTGGTCAACACATACGATACATCACATAAACAGAATTAAAAATAAAAACCATCTTCTCAATAGATGCAAAAAAAGAAATCAACAAACTCAAATGCTTTTTGATTTGGGGGACTTGGGAAGGTGGGAGGGGGTGAGGAATAAAAGACTATACATTGGGCATGGTGTACAATGCTTAGGTGATGGGTGCACCCAAATCTCAGAAACCTCCAATAAAGAACTTTTCCATGTAATCAAAAACTGCCTGTGTCCCCAAAACTATTGAAATACATCTATTGTTAAATTGCACATCCCTACTTCCTACTACTGTCCCTCCCTCCCATGATCTGGTTTGTCTAGGGCCCTTAACCATTTCTTCTTTTAAATCTCTATTGCAGTTCTGGGATATAGGAATGTTTTGAGCTAGAA